ACAGTAGTTCGCTGCAATCAGGTCCTAAGCCTTGTATTTCACAGACAATTACATCTTGGCGGCTGTTGAACAAAAATGTAATATTTACTCTGTGCTACACTGAGGAGCACTTTTAAAGTCGAAAAACAAAATACTACATTTCAAAAAAGAAAATATGCTAATAAATCTCTTTTTATGGATTCTCTCTGCATACATGGAAACAACGTGATTTAAATCCTCCGCCCCCCCTCCTTTCAGGCACAGTTGAAGTTAGACAGATACTGTCTTTTAACACACATTCTACATGTCTGGGGGGAGGCACCCACATTTGTTACATTCAATTTAGTTTCCAAACTTTCACACCCCACCCTGACCCACAGAGCCGCATGCAGCAAGGATTATGAATTCATTAGCTCTGGGATGTGAAGTCTATTTTCACACGGATTCGAAAAAGATGGCATGACTTGGGTAATTAATTTATAACTTCATGTAACTTTCTAAATGGCTACCCATTTTCCTCTCAGGCGGGCTTCTGAAGGAGGTGGGAAAGTTGAGGCAAAGAAATAGTTTCATGAAACTCTGGGGTACATATTAAAATATGTTTATTATTTAAAAATGCATAAAGTATGGACCTGTATTTGTTTGCTGGTGATCATAAAATAAATTCATAGCCATTCTTGCTAATTAACAATCTTCATTATGCTTAAAAAAATTTTAAAAATAAATCCTCTTGGACTATATCTTCATTCTTCCGGATCACCCTCCTATTGAAATATTTTGGTTCTCAATTTTATTTATAGTAAACCTCAGAGATGATGGTTTCCTAAAACTGTGCAATGACAAAGCCACAGAATAGTATTTCAAGTCCAGAAGTCATGCATACCCATGTACATCTCCCATAGAGTTTTCTAGCTGATGGCTTTAGTATTTCAAGAAATAGGAAACAGTAGCTAGAAAGGGTACCATTTCCTAAAAATTCTCTCTTTACAAAAAAAACTTGGTCTGGCATATTAGTCCATGCACAAATTATAATATTAGTTTCATGTGTGTTAATCTGTTTAGTATTAAAACTGCTAGAGTGTCTTAACCACTAACATGTTTTACTGCACTGCTTTCAAAAGGGTGATCTCAGATAATTATGAAGATTTTGATGTTAATCCCACATTAAGTGAACAACTATGAAAATAACCTTAAAGCATTATTATTCTTATATAAATGCCAGCAAATACAATTGTAGAGGGAACACGATTACTTTTTATCTGACATTATCCTATAAGGATATGGCTACATTTATTTCTTTTAAAATCGGGGCAGTTTTCAATTATTTTTTAACAGATTTTTTTTTCTTCAAAACAGCATTTGCAAAGCCTATAAACCACAGCAACTTTTGTACTGACAGATACAGATTTTTCCTACATTGTTATTAATTAGCCTCTTTGCAAACTCACTAAAATAGAATAATATACACAAATATCAAAATGTAGAGAATAATTATTAGGTCTACATATTTATTAAGCTAAACCAATGTTATTAAAATTAAAAACATGTGCTTGGCATATGAATATTTCTTTAAGAATTCTTTTTTTTTGGATGCACAGTTATTATTTTTCAAGCCAACTGAGATTTTCAAGTTCTGATTTTCCACTCTAAACAGGCATTGCATTGTTTTAAACAGTAGCTCCTGGAACAGTACCACCCTTAGTATTTTAGACTTCCAAACAACAATTGGAATTGGATAAATGCTTTCAGCTGCGAGCACTTTCCTAATACCTTTGTAGGTAATAGGATTCCCTGTTTGTGCTGGGTGACAAATGGACAGTGCACTGGACAGACTGCCTACTCTTTGCAGAATCTACAAGCAATTGGAGTTTTCTATAAGACTGCTTGGGGTTCATCTAAAAAAATCTGTTTCAGAGAATATATTCAGAGAATATAAGTGAGTGCCTTTTCCAACTATATTTATGAAATGATGGCTTAGAGAGGGATGTAAAATATAAGAGAGGAGGAATGTGGAGACCAAAAAAAAAAAAAAAGAAAAAATCTGAAAAAGAAAGTTTTCCCGGCAGGATAAAATATAAGAGAGGAGGAATGTGGAGACCAAAAAAAAAGAAAAAATCTGAAAAAGAAAGTTTTCCAGGCAGGATCTGGCTCTTTGTCTCTAAGTAGGAGAGTGATGAGTTGCAGCCACATCAGGCACTATATTTTTTGTTGTTGTTGTTTTCTTCAATTCGGTGATTTTAAAGTAGATTTTTCACCCGAGAAGCGCAATTAAGAAAATATATGTGAATTCTTACATAGCTTCCTTGATTTTCAATATCAGGTCCACCATGCCATTGTTCTTTCTAAATGAATGAATTCAGTAACAGTTGGTGTCAAAAGTCTTGACTTTTTTCAAACTTGTGTTAAATTGGGATAATAAAGTACAGCATATATCCACAAGATGGCTTTCATAAACTCCAATGAGTTTATGAAACAAGTTGGGCGGGGGGGACTTTTTCAGGAAGAAGCTAGGCAACTGGTTAGGAATCTGGGAGAAATAAAGCAAGAAACTGGCCCCTTACATTCCCAGTAATTCTGCTTTTCCAACATTGTTAAGTTCTTTGCTTCCTGTGCTATTCAAGTAAAAATGTCAGCAATAAAATTACAGAATCTACTCAAGTGACTATTTTTGCTTTATCATAATATATCTGCTTTATTATACTATACATATATGTACATTATATTGGGGCTTTTGAAGGTGTAGTTATTTGTTGAATATTTCTTTTTTCAGATAGTGATATTTAATGAAGTGTTTATAAATATCAATCTAAAGGTTCATCAAAGATACAATAGTCATGATAACAAAAGGGCATTTGAACCTGTGTGGTGCGAGCTGCGCTCTGTAAATTGTAAGTGCTTTTAAAACCATGATCTAGGTATTCGTAATGAGGACATCTGAGGAGAGAAACTCAAGGGTCCTCAATGTACACAGGCGAGGCCACCTCATCATAAGGGGGAACTTGCCTTAGAATCATTTCTCTATTGAAAATGCCATCTCTCGCTCTAGCCGGTTTGGCTCAGTGGATAGAGTGTTGGCCTATGGACTTATGAGTCTCTCTCTCCCTCTACCTTCCTCTCTGAAATCAATAAAAAAAGGGAAAAAAAAGAAAAGTCTCCCTCTACCTTCCTCTCTGAAATCAATAAAAAAAGAGAAAAAAAAGAAAATGCCATCTCTCACCCTCCTCCCAAAACTTCTGCTAGCTGTATTTTACTAAAACGTCCCAGAATTAAGAGTGGCTGTAACTCACTGGGCTTTTCTCTCCTTAAATGCCTTACTATTAGATGACTGAAGAGTTCACTCAGTTGTCCTTGCACTTTATGTGCTCCTTGTTAATTGCCTTAATATGTGGCAATAATTGGATCATGAACTGAATTTTTCTCATTGCCTTGGAGTTTTAACTTACAACCCCAGATTCATCTGAGTAAATAGTAAGCCAAATACATTTTATTGGATTATTAATTAGGCCCTGCTTCATGTCAGTAAGGGTTTAAAGTAGTTGTCTGAAGAATTAAGGTTATTTTTTCAAATTTGTTTGTAAAAAAATAATTCCGGTAAATGTAATTTTGCAATTTATTTTGATGTTTATTACGAGATCAATGATGTCTTTTGGTAAAATTTTTTACCCCAAGATGAAGCAAAATCTCATTTGGAATGCGACAAATTTTTGAAGGTAATTTTGAGCATGTTATAAAGACATTTTAATGATACACAGAAATGAAACTATTACGCATGGAAAGCAGCATAATATAGTGATTAAGGGCAAAGTCACTGGGGTCAAAGACACAGTTTTGCATCTTGACTACAACACTTAT